TATTTGTTTGAATATACTCTTTGTGTCCTTTGCCCTCTCTTCTCCTTCTGGTATATCCATTATTCTTATATTGCTCTTTCTGATGGAGTCAGATAATTGTTGTAAAGTTCTTTAATTTTTTTCACTCTCAACTCTCTCTCTTCTTCCATCTGCATCATTTCCAGACTCCTAGTTTCAATATCACTAATTCTTTCCTCCATCTGGTCAGCTCAATTTCCTTTGCTTGTTATTTAAATTTTCTTCTCTTTCTTTGTGTTCTTCAGCTCCAGAATTTTAATTTGGTTCTTTTTAAAAATTTCAGTCTCTTTGGTAAAATATTCACTTCATTCATTGATTTTATTTTGAGTTCACAAAATTGCCTATCTGAGTTTTCTTGCATCATGTTGAATTTTTTGAGAAATGCAATGCTCTATTCTCTGTCATGAAAGTCACATATTTCCATGTATTTAGTTCATTTTCTGGAGATTTTCATTTTCTTTCTGAGCTGCCTTGTCACCTTGGTTATTCATCACAATTAATAGATTATTTTTCTTCCTGAACATCTACAGGAGTGGATTCTGCAGCAGGTTGATATGAAGAGGTCTTTCTTTTGCTTTCCAGTACGTAGTGCTGGAGCATTTTATTTTCTGTTGTCCTGTTCCTGCTTCTCCTGGTGGGAGATTTCCTTGGGAGGTAGGCATGTCCTCTGTGACCAGGTCATCTAAGTCTCAGGGCACCACACTCATGGGAAGATATGGTGGATGATGGGGTTCTGAGCCCCTGAAATCCCACTGCTGCCCCTGCAGCCAGTTGCAGAGCTGTGCACCTCAGCAGCCTTGGGTGCCCCAGCTGGGATCAGCCATGATCCATGGGGTCGGGGAGGACTAGTAGAGTCTCCTTCATTTTCAAAAGATAATTTTGCCATTACAGTATTCTTGGTTGGCAGTTTTTTTTAATTTCAGGACTTTAAATATATTCTCCCACTCTTCTATTTTTGCAAAATTTCTGTAAATAAATATGCTTATAACATTATGGTGGTTTCTTCATGTATAACTAATCACTTTTCCCTTGCTGCTTCAAAATTCTCTCACTGTCCTTGACTTTTGAGAATTTGATTATACAGTCATGTGCTGCATAATGACATTTCAGTCAATGATGGACTGCAAATATGACTGTGGTCCCATAAGTTATAATGGAGTTGAAAACTTCATGTTGCCCAGTGACATAATAGCTTTCTTAATGCCACAAGGCAATGCATTAGAATACAGTAATGTCCCAGGCCTTCACATTCACTAACCACTCATTCACTGACCCACCTAAATTATCTTTTAGTCCTGCAACCTCCATTTATGGTAAGTGTCCTAAACATGTGTACTATTTTTTATCCTTTAAACTGTATTCTTACTGTTCTATGTTTAGGTTTGTTTACACACACAAATACTTATCATTGTGTTATAATTATGTACATCATTCAGTAAAGTAACATGCTGTACAGGTTTGCAGGCTAGGAGCAATAGGCTACCATATAGCCTAGATGTGTAGTAGGCTATTACATCTACATTTGTGTAAGGACACTCTGTGATATTAATACAACAACAACAACAAATGCCTAATGATTTATTTCTAAGGATGTATCTCTACATCAAAGAAAACATGACTGTAATGTGTCTCAGTATAGTCTTCTTTGGATTGATCCTACTTGGAGATTTTTGAAATCCATTCATCTGGATGTCAATTTCCCTCACTAGATTTGGGAAATTTTCAGTCATTATTTCTTTAAGTGAGATTTCTTTCCCTTTCTCTCCCTTTTCTCCTTCTGGGACTCCCAAAATGCACATATTGTTGTCTTATGGGTATAACATAAATCACATAGGTGTTCTTTCTGGTTTTTCATTCATTTTCCTCTTTATCTTCTGACTGGAATATTTCATATGACCTATATGCAAGTTCATGGATTCTTCCTTCTGATTTATTCAGTTGTTATTGCAGCTCTCTAGTGTGTATTTCATTTCTTTCATTATACTCTTCAACTCTAGAAATTCTGCTTGGTTCTTTTTGATGGTTTCTATCTCTTTGTTAAACTTGTCATTTTGTTCATGTATTATTTTCCTAATTTCATTGAGTTATTTAATTGTGTTGTTTTGTAGCTTGCTGAGCTTCCTTAAATTTTTTTTGAATTCTTTTTCAGGCAATTCATAGATCTCCATTTCTCTGGGGTCATTTATTAGAAAATTATTGTGTTATTTTGGTGGTAATAGTTTTCTTAATTTTTCGTGTTCCATGCAGCCTTACATAGCTGTCTGTACATCTGAGGCAGCAAACACCTCTTTCAGGGTTTATGAACTCGTTTCAGTGGGGAAAGATCTCCACCTTCGGGTAGGTGCCAATACATTTGTTGGGTGGGGTGCAGTGGTTCTGTTTGTAGGGATTACAGTGGCAAATCCAGATCTAAGGATGGTGAGGGAACAGCAGTGTTGACTCTATGCAGTGCCATCACCTGAAATCACGAGTGGCAATGACTGTGAGAGTATTTTGCTGGCAAGGTTGTGGATATCCATGGTGGCAGTGAGGGCTACTGCAGTCCTCAGTGGCAAAGGCTTCTGAAGTCAACCTGCACTCCTTTTCCCCCACAGGGTGAAGTTATAGTCTAGGGGATTCCTCTGGGTAACAGGATCTGATGTACAGGTATGTTCATGGCAACATTGCTCATTTAGAGACTTTGAAAAACCTCAGGGACTTCTGCATTTATTTATTATTGTTATTATTATTATCATCACACTATTATTTTATGATATCATGAAATCAAGATAAGGATAAATTGTAATTTCTGCATGGTCAAGCATGGTTACTACTCTAATTCCAGTTCTATAACACCAAGTATAACATCATACACAAATGGAAACCTAATACTTTATTTTATCACAATGATGGATATCAAGTTAGGCCAGATTATATCTGGCTAGGAAAACTACCTAGTTACTCAGTTAAAAATTAGGTCACCAGTATATCTCTCAAAAGTTTTTATGTTGTCTTATTATAAAGGAACAACATAGAAGTTTTGGAGGAAGTATTTTTCAGAAACTGGTATAACTGAGAAAAACATGACAGAGTTATTGCTTGAGTTTGCACTAATATTTATTGGTAAAAATATTATTTTTTATTTACAACAGGTTTCCTCTCAAATGTTGGTCACTTCCAAGACAATGTAAGATTAGAAATCAGTATGAGTTAAGAAGTCTTAAAACTGGGAAACTGTTTATCACTGTATCTTCATCATAAAACAACTTTTATTCAAAGGGGTTTGATAAAATAAAATTCCTATTACAAAACATCATTGAAGAGGCGGAAGAATGTGGATAGGGCAAACATTTTGGATCTAACCAGACATGGGATTGAAACTTAGCTCTGCCACTTACTAGCTTTGTGGCTATGGACAAAGCTGAATCACTTTGTACCTGTTTCCTAATCAGCAAAATGGGAGTACTGAATATGCCTTTTTTTCTGAAAATGTGATAAGAATTAAATGAATTACCATGGGAAACAGATGAATAAATTCTGAGGATCTAATGCATAGCATTGTGATTATAGTTAACAATATTATATTATATACTTGATAGTTACTAAGAGACTAGATCTTAAATGTTCTCACCACAAAAAAGAAATGATAATTATGTGATGTGATGACGATGTTAGGTAACATTATGGTGGTAATAACATTGCAATATATAAGTGTATCAAATCAGTATATTGTACACCATAAACTTACACAATGTTATATGTAGATAATGTCTAAATAGAAAATGGAACTAAAGGAAAAAAACATGGGAGACAGTTAGTACATAGTAACTGGTAATTTCTTACTATTGTTATTATTCTTTTGCTTAGTGTTAATTTTAGTATTATCTATGTGTTGCTTCCACTTACCACGAATCCATTAAAAGTATTCATTTTTCCATTATTCCCCACTGTGGGCACTGGCTGAAGACTAATTCTCATTCTATAATTCACCATAAACATTTCCATTTTAAACGACGAGAGCTTCACTGTATTAAAGTCACAGTAGTTTTTCATACTGACTTGATTCAGTAACTTCCCTCTTTAATTCCCCTTTGCTTTTCCATCCAAAACAAGGCCCTATAATTCTTGAACTTCTAGGAGCCTAAAAGAAGAGAGATAAGGCTACTACCGATCTGCCTATCACATTATATTGAATTTAACTGCAGTTAGACTGTAAATCTATGGCACCTAAGATCATTTTTGATTGGCCCTTATGATTCCCCACTAAAATTCAACTAACTTTATCTATCTATCTATCTATCTATCTATCTGTCTGTCTATCTATCTATCTGTCTATGCATGTTGATAGTTATAATCCCATCTAATTCCAAAAGAGATACAGAGGTGGTCTTATAAAAAAGCCAAGGTGTAATTATCACAGGATAAAGGAGTAAAAACAAGTAGTTAGAAGGGAGAGGACATTTCAATGGGATACAGGCATCTTTCTCTTACCGTTTCTCCATTTTTTTTCCTTGTTTCCTCTTTGTTCCACCTCTTTTCTTTAGGCTCAGCAGATAATACCTCAAGTCTACTAGCACCTTTAATTAGCTAAGGAGGTGGTACTGCAGTTGAAGAGACTGCAGCTCAGCCAAGGTGGATTCTCAGAACTGCCATTCAGTGGTAAATTATTTAGAGAAAGAGGAATTAAGAAGCCTGGGGTGAAACTGAAATGGGGCAGCCTTTAACAAGCAGAAGGTGCATTTGCTAGCATTATAAAAATAAGTATTTAATCCCACTACAACAAAACAATGAAGATAAGTCAGTGTTTCCTCAAATGAGATTCTGACCTATAATGGTTTTCTAGTTTCAATGTACAAGTTAGAGGTAGGGTTAAACATACTTCTATAGCAACTGCTTACAATCAAAGTATACATATTATTCTCTCCTCCCCTGCTCAGCCCTCCTCTCTCCCATTGCAGAATAAATCAATGAATTATCTGCCTTAGAATCCTGAAGATACTCACCTGTATTAGAATTAAGATCATCAGGCTCTGATTCAGTCCCATTTTGGCTTCCATTTCCCTGAAGAGTGTTCATAGCCATAAGCTTCATCTTCTGCAGCTTCATCGCCTCAGCCATTGCTGCTGCTGTTATACCTAAAACCAGAATCATCCCTTTTAAAATGAGGACCATTTTATGTGATTGAAAGATGGATACATTTCTTTACCAGGCCTACGCTGCGCAGCACAAGCCAAAAGTGAGCCCAAGTCTAATATATAAATAATATTATTTAACAAAGTAATTTTCAACTCCTGTAATTATTTCATCTTACAATGGACTATTTGAATATCTAAAAATGCATTGAATGTGGATCAGATTTCCAATTCAAAACACAGAGAAAACAGAGTAATATGAAAATTGTTTGAGAAATTCCAAAACTCTTGCTAATGTGTTCTGGTGTCTATTAAGAGCTCTGGACAGTTGTTTTAGACAGAACTTACCATGTACTAAATTCTATCTTAAACAACATTGTTAGAGGAAGCACCCTGAAATGCTATAAGGGACAACTTTCTAGTGAATATCCTTGTTTGTGCTTCTGCTGAAGGATGGGCTCTCTGGCCTCTGAGAGTCACCTTAGAAGGGAGAGGGAGAAGGATTGAAAGAAAAAGACTTCAAGTAGTCTTTCTACCTGTACATACTCTTCATCCTTATACACTGAGAGACCAAATAAATAAAAACATGGCATGCCACCTCTGAAAGTGTGCCAGTTTCTGTATTATAATTATATTGTTTTGTATTAATACAAGACAACTGTTTTTGACTCTTTATAATGAATGGTACAAGGAGGTAGGGATCAAAACCCAAAGAAAAAACATCAGTGCTTAAGTTTGAAATTCTTTCTCCTAGGAAGTTTATATCAGACAGTACCATAAAAATATATAAGGAAACTGGTACTAAAAATAGAACAACCCATATTCTAACATGCCCACCAAAACATCTAGTCAATTCAAATTAATTTTTAAAATTTTATTATTACTTCTTTAATTTGCAAGTTTATTTGAAGAAACATCAATTTTAGTCTGGCAGTGCCAAACTGAAAGTGATTAGGCGCTCTCTACCCACACAGGCTAAGGGAAAGGCTTTTGTAGAGCCAATGTGGAAGGGCATTCTCTGGCTATAACTTAAGAGGTTGCCTTATCTGGGAAAGCCTAGCTGACTGTTTGCGATTGGTTATTCCTAACTTTCAATTGGTTGACCTTGAGGCATTCATAGGAATTGACTCTGGCTAAGGTTTTGGTTTGCTTATATAGGCTACCAGGGCATTAGAGCCACCTCAATCTAATGGTCTTCTCATTTAATTACTTTAACAGTGGTAATTTGTTATAGCAGGAATAGGAAACTAATATACCAACTGATTAAGCTGATAAGACAACAGTCATTCTCCAACCTTTCTGTCTTTTCATAGACCAAATGTGTGGATTAAATGGGGATGTTTGTGCATAAAAGCATATATTTATTACATTTCTCACCATTTTTTTTCTCTTTGGGTTTCATTTTGCATAGTTTCTATTGCTATATCTTAAAGTTTACTGATTCTTTCCTCAGGTGTGTCAAAAGTATCCATTAGCCCATCACAGGTATTCTTTATGTCTATTCCTGGGTTTTTTACTTCTAGAATTTCCATTTGATTCTTTCTAATAGTTTCCATCTGAATGAGTAAAGCTGGTAAGTTATCCCTTATCTAATGCCATATACTAAAGGTAACTGAAAATGGATCAAGACCTAAATGTAAGGCCAAAAGTTATAAAACCCTCAGAAGAGAACATAGGACAAAAGCTTTGTGACACTGGATTTGGTATAGGTTTCTTGGATATGACACCAAAGGTACAGGCAACAAAGGAAAAAAATAAACAAACTGGAGTTCATGACAATTTAAAATTTTTGTGCATCAAAAGACATTATCAACAGAGTAAAAAGGCAACTCACAGAATCAGAAAAAACGTTTACAAATCATATGTCTGATAAGGTATCTTTATCTAGTATACATAGAAAATCCCTACAATCCAATTACAGAAAAATAAAAAATAACGAATAAACCAACTCTATTCAAAAATGGGCAATGGACTTGAATGAACATTTCTCTAAAAAACATATGCAAATAGCCAATAGCTCATGAAAAAATGTTCAACATCACTAATCATTAAAGAAATGCAAATCATAACTACAAAGAGTTGCCACTTCACACCCATTAGGATGGCTACGATCAAAAAAGAGAAAACAAGTGAAGGCAAGGACATAGAGAATTTGGAACCCTTGTGCACTGTTGATGGGAATGTATATGGCAGAGCCAGTGTGGAAAACAGTATGGCAGTTCCTCAAAAATGTAAACATAGAATTACCATATGATCCAGTAATTTCACCTCTGAGTTATACTCAAATGAATTGAAAGAAGGGACTTGAAGAGATACTTGTACACCTGTGTTCATAGCAGCATTATTCACAGTAGCCAAAAGATTGAAGCAACCCAGTGTCAACTGCAGCATTGATATGGAAGATTATTATCTAGGAGATCTTTGGTTAGAAAGACAATTGCAGAAAAATGTACATATGATTCTTGGCTATAAGATACCTCATCAGGCATATGATCAGATTCCTCATCAGACATATGATTTGAGAACAGAGATACTTATGCAAAGTACAACCCAAAGATTGAACAGGCATTATATGCTTCTGCCATATCTTGCTCTCTCTCTTCTTGCCATTAGAACAGCATGTTCAAAATAGGGTTACTTTTCTTCAGCCTGGATCTGGAAATGCAGAAGATATGTGGAGCAGAATCACAGTCGATCTGTGACATTCTCTTGTGCAAAATTTTCCCATTTTTCTACTTTGGCATCCTACATCTTTTTAAAATTTGTTTTGGTATTTTATATTTGTCTATAAAATAATCCAAACTCTGTAGGTTTTCAAAATATGATAGGCTAAGACCTTCTGTAACATCCAGGGCTCTTTCCCTTCTTCCAATAAGGAAATAATATCTCGCTTAGAAATGGAACATCCCACTGGGATCAGGTTGCTGTAGTTCTGCATTCCCAGTCTTCCTGGGAAAAGTCTACAGCCACATGCTTGAACATTACTAATCTCTCATAGCTTATAGATCTCCACCACTTCTTTCCTTGTCCTCTGGGCACCTTGAGCACCAGAGATTTTCAACTTCATTATTTTTAGATAGTGGTGAAATCCTTATCCCTGTCTATTTACAGGTGTGTAGGTGCCATGAGCAAAATAAAAAACAATAAATAAAAAAAATATGGCACATTTAAAACAGTATTTCAGAATTCAGTGAAATCCATTCTGTTATGAAAATGCAAGTCAAGGAAAAGAAGGCATATATTGGTTGTTGCAAAAAGAAAACATAACTCATAACTGCCACTATTAGAATATTCTGATTCTAAGAGGCAGGGTGAATCCTTATCAAAGGTGTAAGGGGAAGTATGTACAGCCTACAGCATCTAACTGTGTGCTTGGGAGAATCATTAACTTTCAATTTTGCCACTCTGTAGTCTTCACAATGCATGGAACACTCAAAATGAAGCAAACACTTTAACCATATTAGCTTGTCTATGAATCATGGCAAGGAAAGGACCTGAAAGAAAATTGCTTTTTTCTTTGAACAGATGATATACATTTGTACATTTTCTAGCATATTTAGCTTTACTGAATTCCAACCCTCCAAATGGGCCAACAATATGATGGTAATAATTTAAACAAAGGGACCCTGTTTAGGACTGCCAGGGCTGAGTGCCTCATAATAAAAAATGTATCAAGAAAAGTCTCCAGAGTTTACATCAGCTCCTCTTGACTAGCAATCCAGAACTGGATATTGACTATGATAACTATTGAATTACTAGTTGTTTCATTACTGGTAGTGTAAATAGTGGATTTTCATGAACAAAATATGGGTTCTTACTTTAAGAAAAATAAAAGTCGACAAAATATCTTATAGACCAGAAATCCCAGGTAAAATGTGTATCTCATAAAATGGTACTCAAGCAAGTGAATGACCAAGAGTCCCCTTATATTTTTAAAATTCAGAGAAAAGATGATAAGTTCCAATATCTATACATTATCTTAAGCAATTGCTATCTATATTATATCATTGAAGAAAAAGTCAGTGAGCAAATTCAGAAAGTAATTTTAAGGTAGTAAAGAACCACAGTATAAAAGTACTACAAAGATATTTAGGGGCCATCTAGTTCAATCTCTTCATTTTGAAGATAAAGGAAGTGTTTCATCATGACCTGTCATAGGTCAGTTATTTAGGGAAGATATGGAGCAAAATCCAAGTTTCCTGATGGGACCTAGATGTAATGAAGTACTGAAGTAGTTCAAACATGAGTTAATGAAAATCTCTAAAGGGATGTGATGATCCCCCTATCACATACAGTCTCATATTTTTCGTTGTCTTTCTATATCTCCTTACATTTGCTTCAAAGTTTAGAGGCTTAGTCTCTAACTCATATTTGGTATTGCCTCATGGTGCATATTGCTGTGACTTTAAACTTATGAAACCTTAAATCCTATTTGTTCAGTCCTCAGTGCAGAACCTGAATCTCTATGTCTTCAGGTAAAACCACCATCAAGCAAATGGAAAACAGTGTTAATGATCTTATGATTTATTTGATCTTTCATTAGCAATTTATCCATGTATTCAAAGGTTCGGCTAAATTCTTAACCTCAGGATGCTGCTCAGTGTAACACTGATGGATTTAAAACAGCAAATCACCTCTCGGCACTGAGCTCTCAAATTGCAGCCCTGGAAGAGCACACAAAAAGAGCATGCTGATTTAGGAACTGCTGAGTTAAGATTTATTTGGGAATGAGATTTTCAGCATGCATTAGACAAGCAGAAAGTGGTAAGTTTAATGAGAATGAAAAGACACTTTTAAAAGTGAAAGGGTTACAATTATAGGTAAACATCTACATAAACACCTAGAAATGTAAATTATCTTTTTCAGTCACTGAATCTGCAAATAGTAACTTTTACATTATGTTCAAATTATAGATATTTAACTGACTGAAATCGATTTGGAAAGGCAGAGACTCAGTGTTACTAGGAAAGCACTCACTTCTTGCACTTTCTGATATTTGGCAC